CATAGTGAATACTTGTTAACACTGACAAATGATCAACATCTGATTCATATTCCAGAATCATTCATACGGGGTTAGGCACAGCCCACACCCTGGGAAAACGCAAGTGAAATGAAGTCACCCTTTTTTATTCACCTGAGGTTTCATTTTGAGGAACAACATTATGGCTTCAACAGCTAATATAACAACAACTCTCAGAGCAAATGCCAAAAGAATGCATGCAATGAACAATCTATGGCCTAAATGTCTTTTATTTGAAGTGCTGGCTGAATAATTAAAACTAATGAACACAATGGTAAAAAAAAAAGCCACAAACAAACAAAAAATAGGGTGTCTGTATTGATTGCACTGTTAGTCCAGTCCTAATTAACGTCTATATAATTAGTACTAAAAAGCCAAAAGCAATGTTTTTCAGTGAACACACTACAGGTATAATGCCTACAGATTACTCAGCTGTACATAATTTTATCATGTTTTTAAAGTTTTGTTCCAGTTCCCTGTTATATTTGAAAATGTGAAGTCTTACAAATGCACATTCTGAAGAGTTCTTCACATGGAGGCTTCACAGAAGTAGGCCTTTGAAATTACTTTGACTTCAAATTAATTCCTTTTCACTCTAAGAATATATCCATATTTATCATCTATGTGGAAGGGCTGTAAGTCATTGTTACCCATTTCAGCATTTTTCCAATAACATTCAGTTGTGTCAATGATAATGAAAAGACCTTTAAAATAAAACACATTATTATGAAAATAAAATATGTGGGACTCAATATCCCATATAATGAAACAGGTGTTTACAATGGTTCCTCTGTGACAGTGGATTAAAAGAAGTGCACAAAAAAAGTACTTCTATTTTTGTTACCACAATATAACAATGGCATTTGCACAGGGATTAATCTTCCACATGCCATCTACTGAGCTGTGAGTAGAAAGGGGAGAGAAACTGAAGCTTTATGCCTTAGAGATTTAGGAACAAGTACAGGATGGAATCACCAAGCTAATTTATTACAGATAAATTCACTCTCCAAGTCTATAGGGTTTCTTGTGAAAGCCAAATGATTGTTACTACTCTCTACCACTCTTCTCAAACCCTCCCTTCTCTCCCCATCAGCCCCCAGTCTTTCTGGCACTTACATCTTTCAGGCTTTCATTTGTTTTTTAAACTGCCACTCCTGATATTCTTTTTTAAGTGCCCAATTTCTCAGACTTCAATTTCCTGCCTAAAAGGTTACTGAAATAATCCTCCCCTCTCAAATTTCATAGTATAATATATACAGTATGGATAAATCTCTGTTCATTATAGCATGCTCTCAAAGCATTCAGGGAAATCATTAGGATGATGTTCATTATGAGCCCTATTATTGCACTACACAGCAAAACTAATTAAATAAAGAAAGCTGACATGAATAAAATCATTAAACACTCATCTTGGCTTTATTTGAGCCTGTACCAGCCTGCACAATAACATTTGAGGATGGATGGAAGCCAGGCAACGATCTAGAGACCTACACAAATACTGTCTGCATCCGTCTAGCAAACCCAGCTACTGCTCACTGGATCAAATCCTGCATTCCTGATGGAACAGTCCTTTTAAAAAAAACCCAAATTCTTGCTTTGTAGAATGTAAAGGGTTCATTATTCCTGCCTCAGTGAAGGCTCCACCACTGGATCCTTTGTGCTCCAAACAGAGAGTGAAATATATTTAGTGGTATCAGGTCTACTGGTAGGGACAGGGGACTAGAAATCAGCAAATCCTGAATTATAAACCTGCTGTTA